CGAGATATGCCCGCGGAAAATTGACCTTTTTTCATTAACAGCACGTCTTTATTATGCGCGTTATAAATGGGCTGTGTCACGAAAGTTATCAAAATTCAACCGTCGGAACTAACACCAAAACGTAAAAAAAGTGAAAGGTTAAAAAAAATTTCAAAACATTGCTCTATAACAGGAAATAAAAAAGGAGGCACTGATTGGCAAATGTGAAGAAGATTCAAACAGAAACATTGTTAGCCTAACACTGAGTTTTTTAAAGTTTATTCTCGTTGTTTGTAACGTTAGATGTAATAACTGGGGGACATATTTGTCTGGCAGGAAGCTGTGCTTTTGTCACTCTCGACTAATTTCTGCAGTTCCATAGCGAATAACGACCCCTAATTCGCATTATAAACAAAGTGAAATAGCTAGCCTTGGCACAGCCCCTTTAATAATGCGGCATTTGAAAGAAACACACAAATTAAATAGGTCTATTTTTAATTATAATGATTATTTTATTTTAAGCATGTGAACTGAGCAACAGAGTCCTGAGAAGATTTATAATGAACTGCCAAGAAGGGCTTCAGAGCTCCCAAATTTGCATTACTACCATTCAGTCAGGTGACTATCTTCAAGCCAAGGAGTATTATGAACGCTCCTTAGAAATGAACCTCAAAAAGTTCGATCCTGAGCACATTGACGTAGCACACGCGTCCTATGGCTTAGGCCTTGTGCAAAGTGCCTTGGGTGATTATCAACTGGCCAGGAAGAACCTCGAACATGCGTTATTTCTCTACCTTAAAAAGTTTGGAACTAAGCACGTCACTGTCGCACGTACTAATCACTATTTAGGCCTTTTACAAAGCGCGGTGGGTGACCATCGACAGGCTAGGGAGTATCTTGAGCTTGCCCTAACCACTCGTTTAGAAGTGCATGGGCCAGAACACTTCGACGTAGCGATTACTTACCACTTCTTAGGCGTTGTAAACAGGGACATGGGTGATCTTCAGAAGGCTAAGCAGAATTTTGAACGTGCTTTGACAATTTTGGAGCAAAAGCTGGATTCAAACCATGCTCAAGTAGGCCGTACTTTCTACTGCTTGGGTGTGGTGGAGAGCCAGATGGGTGAACACAAACATGCCAAAGAGCACCTCGAAAGCGCCTTGTCTATTAGACAGAAAATACTTGGACCTCAACACCTAGATGTTGCGTGTACTCAGTGCAGGCTAGGTGTTGTTCAGTATCATTTAGGTGACACGCTGCAAGCAAAAAATAATTTAGAGCGTGCTTTGGCAATTCAGTTGAAAAGTGGGCCTGACCATCTACATGTCGCAAGCACTCGTTCTTGTTTGGGTGTCCTACACGTTATCTTGGGTGACCATCAGCAAGCTAGTGAGCACCTTCAACAGTCTCTTTCCATTTATCTTAAAAGGAATGGGCCAGAGCACATTTCAGTCGCCCGAGTAAATTTATTATTGGGTCTTGCAAAGTACCGATCAAGTGACCTTCAGCAGGCCAAGGAGCATCTCAAGCATTCCTTATCCATTCGCCTTAAGAAACTTGGGCCAAATCATGTTGACATCGGTCGTACCTATCATCTCTTGGGTCTTGTTTATAGAGCGTTAGGTTGCCATCAGCATGCAAAGCAGCAATACGAAAATGCCTTTCCCATTTTTTTGAAACATTTGTTTCGCCCACCGGATCATGTTCATGACGCGCGCAAGCACCACGGCTTGGGTATTATTAACGTTGCTTTTGGCGACCACTGGAAGGGCAAGGAACATCTTGAACAAGCTCTACGTGTATATCTCAAAAAGCTTGGTCCGGAGTATGTGGAAGTCGCTCGCACTTATCACTGCTTGGGGCTTGTAGATAACGCCTTGGGTCAACATTGCCAGGCTAAGAGTCACCTAGAGCTTGCCCTATCAACTCGTCTGAAAAGACTTGGACCTGAACACATTGACGTTGCGAGTACTTATCATTTTCTGGGTGTGGTACACAGGAACCTGGGTGCAGAAAATCAAGCCAAACAGCATTTTGAAAGAGCACTTTCCATTTATCTGAAAGAATTGGGACCTGACCACGTTCACGTTGCTCGTAGTTACCATTGCCTAGGCATATTAGAAACCCACCTAGGTGACGGGCAAAATGCCAAAGATCATTTTGAACATGCCTTATCAATTAGAAAGAAAATGTTGGGTCCTGACAACCTTGATGTTGCATGCAGTTACTGTGGATTAGGACTTGCACAAATTTCGTTGTATAATTTTCAGCAAGCAAAGGAAAGTCTTGGACAAGCGTTATCAATTAGGCGGCGAAAGCTTGGTCCAAATGACCTTGATGTTGCACGGACTTATTCTGCAGTGGGTCTTGCGTTAAGTGCAACAGCTAAAGATCAACTAGCCAAGGAATACCTTCGACGTTCATTATCCATTCGACTAAAAAATCTTGGACCTCAGCACTTAGATGTTGCCTCTAGCTATTGCGACTTAGGTCTTGCTGATATTGCCTCGGGTGACCATATGCAAGCTACGGAGCATTACCAGCAAGCCTTATCTATTCAACTGAAAATACTTGGACCTGACCACCAAGATGCGGCGCTTACTAACTATGGCATAGGCCTTGCTCAGAGTGCTTTGGGGGCTCTTCAGCGGGCCAAAGACTACCTTGAAAGTGCTTTGTCTGTTCAACTGAAAAAATGCGGATCTTATCACTTGGATGTTGCCGCTACTTGCTCTGCCTTGGGGCTTTTACACTACCGCCTGGATGACTATCAGCAAGCAAAAACACATTTTGAACGTGTCTTGTCAATTCAAATAAAACAATTCGGCCCTGATCACCTAGCAGTTTCAGGTACGTACGGCTTCTTAGGTCTTTTAGAGAGCCTCTTAGGCGAACACCAGCAGGCAAAGGAACATCTTCATAGTGCACTATCTATTGCAAAGAAAAATGTTGGGCCGTATAGTCTTTTACTAGCACGGAACTACTACCTCGCTGGCCTTGTACTGCATCGTCTGGGTGATCTCCGGAAAGCCTCCGATTATCTCAAAAAAGCCTTAGGCATTCGAGTCAAAAGACTTGGAAGAGATCATACGGAGGTAGCACGCACCTACAGTACTCTTGGTCTTGTGGAGCGAGCCTTGGGTAATCAGCAGCAATCTAAGATGTATTATGAGGATGCCCAGTCTATTGAAAGAAGAAAGCGAGGGGCAAATCATATCAATATGCCAAGTGATGTCGCTCTCGTAAAAGCACGTCGCTGCGATGATCACCGGTAACATGCCTGTTCGTAAATCGTCTTTGATATCAATAGGGTTCCGTTGTTTGTTATTCTGCGAGAGCTTTGTCGTTTTCTTCTCACCCATGCCCCAAGAGAGCCTCTCCGGCTACTCTTGCATTGTTGTTTCAACTTTGAAATTTTTCCTTTTTTTAATCTGTTCTCTCCGTCTTTTCTCCTCTCATCACTTTCGAAGTGATATCACGGAAGTGGAGTTCTTTAACGACTGATGGTTTCCAAATGATCTGGAACATGATTGGTGACTTGTCTGCAACACGTCGCAGGTTGAATTATTTCGGGATTTTCAGAAATTTGAGAGAATTTTTAGAGATTTTCTGAATATTCAAATTCATAGCTTTTTGCTTCTCTGTCACCAAAAGCGTTAAACTTGAGACTTCATCACAAGTGATTCTGAGGCCTTTGTTTTCAAAGTCTTGCAGCATCAATCAGCGGTTTTTCCCTCATCATCCAGCATCCACTGCCCCAATGTCAGCTCAAAATTGCAAGCTCGAGCATTGACTTTTCGCCACAGACCACCCAGCCTATTTTCATATTACAGAAAATTAAGACATTTTTAGTAGTTTTGTTGGACTTTTAGAGGTGAGAGAGGAGATTTTGAAAGAATTTTTGGAAAAATCCCGGAGACTTTGAGGCCATTTTTCACGATGCTTCTAGCTAAGCCTATCGGACAGATATGCTTGGTACCATTTTCGCAAGTCAAAAGTCGCACGTCTGCGAACGCTTATAAAAATAGAGGCATTTGTCTTAAGGCCCATGCAAACGGACGCAACATTGTTGGCCAACAAATTCCAACATTGTTGGATGTTACACGTTACGTCCGTTTGCACACCCTGTGGCATGTTGTTGCCTGTTGTTGGGAGTTGTTGCACAAAAGTTTAAAACGGTAAAACTTTTTGGTAAGTGCAAGCGGACGCAACAAGTCCTAAAATTGTTGGCTCAAAAATGTTGGGAGTTGTTGCGTCCGTTTGCACGTAGCGTAAAGTATCTTGGGTCTTCTAAATACGTCCGCAGGGGCGTAGCTAGGATTTTGGAAAGAGTGGGGAGGGAGGAAACAAGCCTACAAGATAGCTGCATAGATTAATTAAGTTCCACGTAGCATAAATTACTCTATCTCATTTACGGTGCTGCAAATGGAGTAACTATCCAGCACTGGAAAAGATTTATTGCATGTTGATTTTTCGGATTCGCGCGTTTTGGCCACCTAAATTACAGGGACTTAAACGGGCCCAGTTCTTTTACTATAACCACACTCTTGAGGGGAGAAAAATGGGACTACCGCATATTGTTTCATCAGCCGTAGGATTACCACAGGATTAACAATCTTTTTCCCCAAAACAAACTGTTGCGAAGGTTACTTAACAGCCCGCCGACGGTCAGAGTTCGAGCATGGCCTACTTACAGACCAAATTGAGCATATCAATCTCTTCTCAAAACTATTATCATTATTTACAAATTGCCTCTCTTTTGTCGAACGTTCTCAGTGAAGTTTTGCTTTGCATAGAAAAGGATTATATTTGGTTGGAATTTTAAGACTACGAATTGTAAACCCACCATAACAAAGCTGCATTCTCAACAAACCACACTAAAAGAATTACATGATCAAGCAAAGAACTTTCACACTATTATTTATTTCAGTTCTTTAATACTGTACATATAAAATAATTATTTCATGTTAATAATGTCAATGTACAAGCACAATCTTGCAAGAGGGCAGACTTAAAAAAATTCAGCTTGCCCTAAGCGAAGCCCGCCCTCTCACAATAATTTAAATGGGCAAGTCAGGTGAACACAAGTAATACTATTCCAGTTCCAACACCACAGTACACCAAGAAAGTCAACTCTGTCGATCACACTAACAAGGACACTGCCGAGTCTCACTTAGAAGAGATTTCCATGTTGTAGAGAGCAGGTGTCTGTTGTGGTGTCCATAAAGAGAGTTGTTCCCTAACATGAATAACATAATCCACTGGGTATAATCTCTGAAAGTCGCTTTCCTGTTATCTATTTTCCCAAAGCTTAGAGTCGATCTACGGGACGGCAAAGGTCACGGTTTCTAAGAAATTCTCCTACAAAGAATGATAAGTAGAATACTTTAGGTAACTACTTTATTGGCTAAATTTAATCTCATTTCCAAGTGCCAACATAATTTATCCGCCCCAGAGGTATAAATCTCGTACAGGGTGCAGTTGCTACTACAAATTGCGACAAGAAAAACATCTGTAAGTTGCATTAGATCATGACTGAACATCATACTGTGAAATGTGGAACTGGAAAGGGAAGAGAAGCATCGGTTACTTGTACCGCACCTGTCTGGAGAATCTCTATAATTGGCCACTCCAGAAAATACCATAACATACCATAATGCTTTTTGATTGTCGCCCCATTTGCAATGGAAAAAAGAATAAAACATTTATGCAAAATGAACAAAGAACAATATTATTTTAAAATTACAGGAACAATGGAAAAATAATAATTATTGCAAAATGAACATCAATATTATTTTAAAAAGTGGAACAAGCTATACTAAGTTGATTGTGAAAAATAAGTGAAATAAAAACATTTTTAATTTTTCAGTCAGTTACAGGTTCACCTTCTGCAACATTAATTGCTTAGCAGTGTGAAGAAGAACACAAACATTTGAATGGCCACTACAAAGAGATTTAAAAGACGTTTCCGGGTACTGGTCCTTTGTCAGAGGAATTCAAGGAACTGTCGGTTGTATTTTGGGTAGACTGTACTATTGATGAAACACGGTAAGTTGAAAAAGCAAGAATAAGTTCGTTGACCGAAAACTATATATTTGTTCATAAAAACATGTATGTAACAACCCACCAGTCCTTGATTCAATCTGCTGAAGAGTAGGTTCACAGCTTTTGAATCTTATTGTAGTAACAAATGTTTTGTCATCTTAGTTTATGAAACCACGTTTTTGTGTTTCCCTTCATCACTAATGCAGCACCACCTAATTCATTCAGCACTATAAAGCACAATGTCGAAGGAGGATGAACAGACCCATGTGCGCAACAAGAAGCTATAACGTTCTTCTTGTTCACTGTTAAAAAGATGGCCAAAACAATAATGATTTCATGCCGAAGCCATTTAAATGCCTACATTTATGCAAATACTATTTTGTTAACCTCACTAACCACTTCCCCCCCAAAAATGTAAGACCACATCAAGGCAAGGTTATGAATAAGCCAACGTTTTCCATGACAGTTTCACCTTTAATAACTTGAATTATCAATATTATGATTTGTGGAGTCCAGAGGGAGGAATTGGTAAATTTTGATGAGTACAGGTGTTTAGGATTTGTAAGTTTTTTGCACTAGTTGTGTCCTTTAAGGAGCTAGGTTATCCCGAGTTTGGCACTGTACATACTACTACCGTATTTATTCGATTAACCGCCCTGGGCGCTTATTAAATTTTTGGACCTTGAGAGTGGGCGCTTATTCGAGGTGGGCACTTATTAAATTTTCAACATTTTCAGCAAGTGTAGTATGTTTATTTTGCAACAAAACAATAAATAGTAAAAACAAAACGCGAAGATGTAACAAAGCAAGGTTTCTGTAAAATACTCTGAAGAAAACTCCGTCTTCGGAGAAGTCTCTTATTAGTACTTATTCAATTTTTGGGGTATGAGGGGAAAGGGGGTGGAGTGGGAGTGGGCGCTTATTCAAGGCTGGGCGCTTATTAACTTTTTCTGCTTTTAGGATGGGCACTTATTCAAGGTGGGCGCTAATTCGAGGTTGGGCGCCTATTCGCATAAATACGGTATTCTGTGAAACAAAACAGTAAGCTGCAAGAAAGTGGTTTCATTGTAATTCATCCAGCACCTCTAACATACCAATTTTTGCAGGAATTCTCAGAAACTTTACCATGGCTCCCAAATCCTTCCCTTGAGTGGCTATGATAAATGGAGGTGGCCAAGAACAAAAAAAGCAAACAAAAATGAACTAAATTACACTTAGTTTCCTAAATTAATATCAATCTATGTGTTCAATTACCATTTCTGACTAGAGCTAACATGTAAAGGACTCTTGATGCCATTTCTATGCTAAAATCCCAAACAATGTCAACCTAAGTGGTCAAACGTTATTTTGAGTGTAGAATGTGAGATAATAATTATTACACATTGCACAAAATAACCTTTAATTCTTGATGCAAACTGGTATCATTATAGCTTCGAAATGGCATCAACCATTGAATCAATCAAAAAAGAAAATACTGATCAGTCTGATAAATTGTTTAGTAGCCTTTGCTGAGGAGATGAACTTTCTTTCTTTGTTCATACTGTTAATACAATGTTCTGAGCTTGACTCAACATCCTCCATGTTTGTTTCTCCTCACAGTGTACTTGCTGAGTGAATTAACATTTTTCTGTTCCTTACATGTAAGTCAAAGTCTCACAAGTAAGACTATATGTATTGAGCCAGCCACCTGAAACCTGGGTGATCAAAGAAAGACATCATTACAAATGTTCCTCTGAATTAAAATAATACTTAACAATTATTCCATGAGCGCGCGTTGGATATGAGTTGGCTATAACTATCTTACATCCAACAAGCACGAATGGAATAATTGTTTAATTAAATTTTTTTAGACTCAAAACGTCTGGTTATTACAACTGAATTTCAAATATTAGAAAAACGACCAATGTAACTTTGGTAAACCAAGAGAAAATTACATGACATGTGCATCGTTTGTGAACTTAGTTGAATGAAAAATCTAAAAGGGAAGGATGCTGTGCTTAAATTATTCCCAAGAAGTACTGTTTTTGCTTTCCCTCGCTGTGACTGTGGAATTTGACGCTGGACAGGTTGACCTGATTGCTCTTCAATTTCGTTTTCTTCCTCCACTGAATCGGAGCTTCACAAAGACCCAGCTTCATTAATCAATTCATTGTTGTTGTTCAATGGAAAACCATTCGTTGTAATATTCACTTGAGGCCTGTTATGGACTTGTGAAAGTGTTAAGAAGTGCAAAAACTCTTTAAACATACAAAAAACCTGCTAATGGTTTTGAAAAGTTACTCCTGCATGGACTTGAAAGCCATTCTGAAAATTTTGTAGGTAAACTTTGTTGTTGTTGTTACATAATTAGCTCGATGTACCAAAGAATTAAGCTCAAGGACTTATAATTTCTTTAAATTTGTAAGGAAAGCTCACAAAACCTACTTTTTTCCGCGCTTTGTCCAAGAGAAATTTTGTTGATTTCCATATATTAAAGGTCAAACTAAGGTATACGAGCTGATAATCGAGATTGAGCGAACCAATCAGAATGCTAGAAATGCATTACCTGAGGTTGAAAATTTAATAAAATGTAATATTCTACCCCTGAAGAATTTACATTGTATGGTATGCTGTGCATATAAAGACGTTACTTCTAGGAAGTGATAACCTTCCCAGAGCGGTTGGCACGGTCATAGATAGTTTACAACATAAGATCTACACGTGTTTATTAATTATTATGCATCTCACATGTTTGGTACGCTTTAAAATAATAAGGCCCTGTTTATACATTGTATACAGAAAAGTTGTCCCTGGAAGCATTTGCACACTATTATGAGAAAAAACCATGACCCATTGCCCAAGCCAAGAGCCAACGACAGAACTCATGCATGGTTTGATTGTTTGGCCTTTGACGAGTTGACCTGGCTGGGCAAACCAAAGTGTTTATACAGCATAGGGAGAAAAGTATGCCCAACCAGGAGGGTGACCCTGTTAGGTAGGTCACCCTTTTGGCTGAACCAACCTTTTGTTTCTCATTTAAACAGTTTCCAAGTTTTATGAGGAAATGCAGGAAAAGTTGGGGTAGCAAAAAACTGGGTAACAGGAAGATGAGTGACCCTTCTTCCTGGAACAAGTTTTCTCCATTATAAATAAGGCCTCAGGCTATAACTACACCAAAATGGACGGCTTTTTTTGTTGCAAGAAAAGCTATCCAGTACCATGCCCAAGCAGTTGGCTGAGACAGTAAAGTGCCCTTAATCCCAATCCCACTTTTTCCCTACTTTCGTCTACTTGCGTCCCAGCCTCACTCCTACTCATTTACTCCCCCATAGTCCAAATACAGTACCTGTCCTCACTTGGACAATCGCAGTGCAGCTTAGCTGCATTGCAAAAATAATATTGAAATCACTGTTATTGCATGTACAGTGTACACTGTATGCCCTACCCAGTATGGTTTTTGAGTTGGCACATGAGGTTGAGCATAGTGAGCATACATGTACATATGTACATGTAGCCTTAGACAATGTTCAAGTAGAGCAATTCATGGTTTATGCATAATTTACAAAGTGTATTTCATGAGAGAACTAACCTTCACCATATCCTTGCCGCTTTAACACACTACACATGTACAGTTCCATTGGTCGCGCTTGGAGATCTTTGGCGGCGATATTTCCCTGCAAGAACGCATACAAGTTACATTTAACCAACGATTGTATTCTCAAATATTCTGAAGATCATAATCCTATATGGCCTTACCATTTTGATTCTTTTTCCCTACTAGTTTGGAGATAAAGTGGCATGTGACATTTACAAAAAGAACTCAATTATAAAATAATTATGAAAGATACACATGTACAGTCATTTTATTTTAGAAACAAACTACTGTACTTAGATAAACATTCAGTGTTTTCAGATGATTGAGCATACATGTATTACCTTTCCTGTTGTAAGACCATATAGGCCAAAGTATTGTCTAATATAATCCTCACTGGCTGCTCCTGGTATGTCGATTTTGTTACCAAGAAGAAGTACAGGACAACTTGCCAACTGCTCATCTGCCAACAAGCTCTGTACAGTTTCAAAGTATAATTCAGGTTCAGAACACTGTATAGTAATATGGTTCAACAACTTCGGACTGCAGGTAAGGCGGTCTGGTTGTCAGCAATTTTCTGCATGGCAGTGTGACTTTGTGTAAGTATGTATGTCTGCACATCTGTGGATCAGCATGTTTGCAGTCTGCCTGTCCAGATGTCAAGGTGTCAGCCTGTCTGCTAATCAGCTTGTTTACCCTTTAGCATGTCTAAATGTCAGCTTTTTTCACCATGTTGAAAATTATACATGGTACTAATAATACCGTATTTATTCGGCTATGAGCCGGGCGATTTTTACACAAATTGAAGCTAAAGTTCAGTGAAGTTTGAGCCCAAGAGGGGGTCTCGGCTTATAGCCAAGAGGTTTTGACCCAAAAAAATTTTTAGTGCATTGAAATGCTTCTAAATGGGGATGTATTCACTTATAAGCCGAGCAAATAACAGCAAATGATCCAATCGATCACAAAAATACACATCTGAATGTTAAGCTAACTAGGCACAGAAATTCGGTCCCAAATTGTCACAATAATTATCTGACAAAAACAGGTCTCACAACTACAGCTGTAAATCTCACATTAGTAACCTTTTACAACAAGGGAAGGTGTCAAATGAAAGATGTCAAGAAATGTGTAAACAATTCACCATGTTTGGTCTAACATGTGCTCCGAAACATTTGCCTGGTTACTAAGCACAGACTTGTTTTAACACTATTCGAATATTTGATTTTTATTTATTTATTTGATTTATTTGATTTTTATTTTTATGTCACCAATTAGTGCTATGCTCTAGAGATTCTTGACATGTTAATAAAATTCACTACTACTACTACTAGACGATTTACACTGTATGTGATCATTTCAAGCATAATACAAGGAGAACATGAGGAAAAACTGGTAGCTGTGAAAAACCAAAACAACAATAATTGTACGTTTTCCTAGACAAAGTCACATTTTTTTCCAAAATGTCATGTTTTAAGGTAGCTTAAGTCTTGTAACAACACGGTCTCAGCTTACAGCTGAATAAATACAACATAAACCATAACGACAATAATAATAATATTAATAATAATACCAACAACAACAACAATATTAACATGACTCAAAATAATCCAAAGAAATTCCTCAGGTCACCTTTTGGCAACCAACTGGGGAAATAATTATGGTAGCCAGTTTTCAGTTTTTTAGTTGCAGCTCACAGTATGGCGCAATTCATTGGATTTGATTGTTTGAAAATATTGTGGACAGAAGTCAATTTGGCACATTTCTTATGACAAAAGCAAAGCAAGATAAGATGAAAAATTATGTTTGCTTAACCTTTACTCTTTAAATTCAAATCTAAATCATACAGAAATCTGAATGCCAAATTAGCTACTAAACCAGAATTGCAACCAACAAATGCAAGGTTCACTCCATGTGATTTGTGCTAAGCCAATTACGGGTGTATGTTGGCTATACAGCCCAACATCTCCACCAATGCATTGCTGAAAATGAAAACTTAGCTATCTGTAAACACCTTGTGGAAACTCATGGGCAATTACAGTGCAAATAACCCCAAAGAAAGTCAAATCTGCAATTTCAAAAGCTCCAAACCAAGTTTGAATGCCCGATATATGAGATGCTCTTCACAAAGAAATCAATCCAAGCTTGAACACTAGCCCGCTTCCATTTGTGTAAAACTCTTTGTCTGAACTAACATTCTTGAGAATAAAATTTATTTATATTAGCCTGCATCATTTATTGAGTGTTTATATTTTGCAACAGACACATTTTTTTACTTCATAATGACTTGCAGTTGAACGTCACAACATTTTTATCTTTTTACAGTTCATTAACGTTTTAATATGAGGAACATCTGAATGCACTATTTTTTATCCAAGTATTTGAACAAAAACATTAAATTAAAATAATGTAAACTTGGAGCCAAAGAAAAAAGCCTACAAACATATATTGTATTATGCTAAATTTCCCCACTTTAATTATTATCTAATTATTTCAAAAAATTAAACTAAACAGAAAAGAAGATGGCTATATGATCAGAATATCTGACCTACCTCAAGTTCAGCTTTAGATTCAGCAAGTCTCTCTCCATCAGCACAATCAATGATGAAAACTATTCCATTAACAGCTGGGAAGTAGTCTTTCCAAATCCGACGAGCTACCATGAAAACAAAAATTATTGAATTACATGTACATTTACTTACACTACAATGTACCTATACACCACATGTACTCAAATGAAAGTGATCCAGTGACTTTGGATTAATGGAAAATTATTGCACATAGAATTACAGTGTTGTATAACTAAGAGATTTTTTGAAAACTGAATGGAATAGTGATTTTGTTACAAACAGGTGAGTCCTGGCATTCAACTTGTGAAAACTCAGGAGTTCCCGTCCATAACGAATGAGTCCCAACTCAAAAAAACAAGGAGTTCTAAATTGAAAATGCTTGGACCTTTATGTACATAACCACACAGTTAATCTGGAGACAGACACCAAAACTGTTTATTACAGTTACTGAAATTAATACATAGTCCTTCTATATATTTAAAGCACAAAAATGACTAAAGTAAATATGTGTATGCATCTTTAAACAACAAAGACCATTCTTTGCATCCTATGGGACACATGCCATGTCAAAGAATAATTATTTTGCATCTTTGGAGATTTTTATACACCAGGGACACAGGACACAGAGGTAAAAAAAATCACTGCCGGAAACACAGGACTACTGCACTACAAGTACATGTGTGTTTTCAGATGGACATGAACATAATTCCCCTTCCAACATAAAGAGTACAAAGTACAACGAAAAACTTGAAAGGCAAAGTCTAAAGGTGGTCTACATGTACATGTCACACACTTGCAAACCACCAAACAAAGGAAAATAAAAATATAATTTAAAACAAGGATAAATAGAAGCACAGTATACATGTATTCAATCATGGCTTGCAAGTTTGAAAATGTGATATTCAAAGCTGTTCAACACAACTGCCACACAAAAGCAACTTACTTTGTAAAAGCTAAATTTCATGGCACTGGAGATTGATTGATCCTCCCACAATACATTCTAAACAAACAAAGGTCAATTCTAAAATTATAAACTTGGTCATACCTTGTTTATGGCCTCCTAAGTCGAATGTTGTGAAAGTCATGCCACCCATTGACAACTCCTGTGATGCTGCAGATTCAACCAAAATTAGAAAAATTCAAGTTTATTGTGTACACTCTTTGCCTTTAATTTGCACAAAAATAGGGTTACCACGCACACATGTAGGCCCAGTTCATATGTTGCACTTCTGCCATGCTAAACTCAATTGGAATTAAAGGATCACAGAAGCACCACTTCAATTCAGACGAAATATGTTACTTTATAGAGTCAGCTGTAAATGAAACAAAAAAAGATACATGTATACATGTATTTCTGACATTTATGAATGTAGTTCAACACAGTGCAAGCATGATGTCTGTCAGAATCATTGCTGTGTCAGAGTTGTACAGCATGATTGAAAGACCTTGTCGAACTCGATTGCCTGCCAAACCAAATTCAAAACTTTGATTCCGAGGTTGTGCTTCTGCTATGCTATTGCCAAACTTGATTCAAGAATATAAAAGTTTGGTACGTCTGAAGCACTGCATATGAACTGAGCCTTATTAGTTATAAACTGCACGAGTGACAAAAAGCAACATACTTGGATGAAGTGTTGGAACATGTTGTGCCATACGATCATCCTTCAGCATGTGAAGTAAAGTTGTTTTGCCAGCATTGTCTAATCCTAAAAATACTAGTTTTCCACTCTTTTTCATTAAACCTGTAGACAAACACATTATACAGATGAATATCACAGTTTTTCATCCCAGAAGTATATTAGAGTACTGTATAAACCAGAAAGTCAGGAAGTGTCCCATATTTAGGAATCAAAACACAAGTTGGCACTGTGATCACCTTCACAAGACAGTTACGATTAGCATTATCAAGGTTCAACTGCAATTTCCATTAGATTGTTCCAATACCCCATATGACCATGAGTTTATTTTTCACAATTTCAATATCACAGCCCCAAAGATTAGAAAAAACAGATGCCGCGTTTTTTAGTCTGAAAAGAAGGATACATGTACATGCACATCTTGTAGGATAAATACCTTTAAAGCCCACAAGAAGACTTGAGTCTTCATAAAAATAGGCATTTCTTCAGAGCAATGGGATGTATGCAGTTGTAATGTACATGTGTACAGGAGTTTGTCTCGTTAAATTTGTTTTACTCCATTACCTCATAAGACACAATTTGTGCTAAGTTTACACAGGAATAGTAAACTTTGCATGTCCTTGGTTCACTCAAGCTCTGGAGATTGGCTCATTCACCAAATATTTCTTTGTGTTTGAGCTGGCAAAATGCCTTACATTGTGACTATAACAGGTGATATAGAATTTTGGCTGACAATGTTGTATCCATGAATGTGAATTATAGTAAGACACATACCTATTACATGTATGTACCCACATGCACTACAGATTTTTATGTTTTTGTTTGGTTTGGTTTTGTTTTGTTTTGTTCTGTTTTTTTTTTTTGCAAAGTTGTCTTGGGACAAGCCTAAGCTATTCAAAAGTACAGTTAACTAAGAATCAGGATTGTTATCTACATTCATATTTAATAATCCTTGAAGTCATGCTAATATTTTTATCATGGTGATACATGTACATGTCCTAGATTTGTTACAAACTGTATGGCAACATGTTACATGGGTTTAACTCAATTATTTTAACAAAACTACAGGTACATGACAATAAGTCAAACAAGATGGACCATAAAATCTCATTCGCCATACAGTCTGAATTAACTGTGCTCTAAAGTTGTTAATTATCTACAAGTGTATTACATGTATGGTATCTCAGCTTCAACCTTACATATTAAAGCATAAACAACTTTGATAGTATGTTGTATACACTTATCTACCAGGACTTACCTAAATAGTTTAACATTCCCGTAAACCAATCCCAGACAAACATTTTCGCTATAAACCTACAAACAATGACAAGAACAATGTTGATACCAAATGAAATCTATCTTAACAACAAGTGGTTTCAATGTAGCGAGCTTACAGGTTAAATCTCACTTGATTAAAGTCACTTTCAACATTTTCCTTCATTTTGATAACCATTTTGGTAATGCAAAACGAAAATATCGTCCAAGAGAATTGTATAACCAACGCAAACCAAACGAATAAAATAGTATAATAATGTCATCCAGCATTTTTATAAGCAGTGGAATTGATGACGTTCGTTAAAATTACGTTACAAAATTCCAGTCTATTCTAAGAAAGAGCCCAGTTGTACAATACAGATGTGCCAACGTGGACAGGTTTACAAAGTGATATTTTACAAGTAGAATTCTACTGCAACGCTAAACCACTGTATTAAAAGCCGGCACATTTTTCATTGAGACACGTAATAGTTTCAAAACCGACTGCGACTAGCCGGTAAATTATAACACACAGAGACATTTTCACGTCAGATAATAGTGGCAGTTGCATGCAAAACATTACCAAAGGGGAGATCATGGCTGTAACACCTTTATACGTACCTAAAACTTTGAAAATCCTAGTTTAAAGTCCTCACAATATTGGAATTTTGTAAGGATCAGTTCCACAAAATTTTACACGCGTACGGCTTTCCGGCGCTGTTTCCCGTATGTTGGAGCTATTGCGCAACTGCGCCACGTAATGGCCTCGATTTGGTGCTGTGTTATCGACTTCCGGTCTTGTGCGTGGAATAATGGCCAGGGTAGGACCCTATGTGATTTAGCCATGTCCAGATTGGTCAAATTCAGGGGCTTCATTCTAATAATTTTCCCACGAGCATCCTCGTCATTTTCATACGAGAGCTCCCCAACTCCCGGGCTAAAAGGACAGATCAGTGACATATACTGAATTCTAATTAGAATTAGAAGAGAACAGTTAACTGATTATTACGGCGAGAAGATTGGAACGAAAAATATTATTTTAAAAGCAAATGACAAAGAGTATTTTGCCGATACTGAGTTCGTGTTTACGAGGCAAACATTTTTACACTGGAAAAATGACTGAAAATGAACACAACTACAAGGGTCCTACACCGATGAACGTCACATATGCAAGATTTGAAATACAGCTGATAGATCTGCCTCGTTCCCAGGCGTCTCAAGTGTTTGGTAGAAAACGCAATTGCGAACGATCCGGATTGGTGACGAATCCGCCTGAACGCGCCTGCAGGGGTACAAGGTAGGCCTGTCCAGATTGTGCTCTTGCAGTTTTTGATTCTCGTTTCGTTTACATTTGACAAGTTGACAACATTCAGAAGACTGGCTAAGCTCCCGGTCGCAATCACCAACATAGGAGGTGCGTCACGACCTGCGCATGTGCGAGATTTGCGCAGTCCAAGCTGAAGCAACGAGAAGTAACAGCGTTTTCCTGAACTTAATTCGCTTACGTTTTACTCCAGTTGCTTCCTACTCTTTCTATTGCTCTCTTGATGGTCAACTGTTTAAAGCTAAGTTTCACGCTATTTTTCTTGACCAACGTTTGCAATCTATGAAGAACGAAAAATACAGCAAGATATTTAAGCAGCAACTTTTGAAGTTGCATGTAGCAACTTTTTGGCGTTTTAGTGAGCAACTTTTCAGTTAAGAGCACAATAGGCCCTTTGCAGCTAACCACTCACGTGGTACAAACTCGCCACGCTGGAGAGCAAAGACAAAGACAAACAAAAGGCATTAGGCAAATGGTAATTTCCTTTGTTCATGATTTGTCTTGCCCCAGTGCGAAGTTTGGTACCACGCTCTACAAAGGGCCTATCAGGACAATTTATCGCACAGGCCAGGCGGTTTGGTACCACGTAAATGGCTAGGCTGTAAAATGGGCCTTTTTAAGTCCCCTTTTCCTGGGTTTTCGAGACACTCAGGCAGCATATTGCCCAGGTTTCAACTTGGAAAGTGTTTTTTACTATTAAAAATATATTTATTATGAAAAATCTGACCGATTTCCGTAAAACGGTGGAAACCGGTGTGGATCCGCGCCTACAGGCCTAGTACGAGGAAGCTACTAGATAATGATAGGCTAAGAAAAATGTCACATACCACTAGTTAAGCTGTTCATCATGTCAATTAATTTTTATCACGAGGCTCTAGTGCCATCGCTCTATCAATGATGTGATCCTAGACTGCGTAGTAGCAGGCGTCGAAAGGGGTAAGAGATTGGTGGTAAGAAAAAAGGGAGAAAGGGAGGGGGATTGGGGAGAGGGATTAAGGGGTGCCTGCTAATAAGAACCTCCTCATTTCTGCCGAGGCTGGCGTCCGCAAATTCTTCATTGGCTGAGCCGTAACAAGTAACGTATTGACCTGTATAAGTGAGAAACAACCATGATGCAGGCATCAAGAAATGTGCTCTACTGGCATGAGCTTCAGAAGACCAAAATTACTCCAGTCATTTAGCAACGTCACGTTGAAACCCGAACTATGTAATAGCTTGTTTAGCTGGGTAGAGATGCTCAGGAAGTTTTGTTTACTGGATTTGTTCAAACACTAAGCGGAAATCACTGAGACGATTTTTGTCAAGCATCTACAATGCCTATATTCACCGGGTTATTATTCGGCGAAGAATTTTAGAAGCTGGACACCCGACTTTTCCGTAAAATCATATACCGTAAAATTTCGAAAATATGGAAAATTGCCCTCAAATAGAAAGTAAAACAAAGCAAAAACGCTTTTTTACTTCCAACTATAGGGCTAGCCCAATCGATTTTGAAACGCAAATTTCCCTCCGTAGATAAGCCCCTCCGAATCAAGTAAGCCCCTCCAAAAATAAGTCCCTCAAAAAGGGCCTTTGAAAAATATAAGCCCCCGGGCTTATTTTCGGAATTTTACGGTACCGCCTTGAAGGAACCTCTAATATGGTTCGTAAAGAGAGAGCTGATAGTCAAGCTTCGGTAAAAGCTACTCAATTTGTGCTTTTTGTCATTTTGTCATAATTCCTTTCATATATTATTCGCGGATCAGGCTGGCGACTGTTGAGTTCTTTGCAACCACTATGCTTGATTGAATACCAAAGGTTTTGTTTATTCAAACGAAACCAAGAGCCATAATCTCATTATGGCTCTTGCACGAAACTGATTATTGTTTGTTGTGTTTGCTGAAAACAACACTAAAAAGGTTTTATTTTGCTTGATTATAATATCGTTTGAAAAAAGCGTTTCGATTTGACCGGTATGAACAAAGTAATTATGTTTGGAGAATGCTGAAAAGCGCCTCCTACTTGTGATTGGTCACGTATTGACAGTTGACGTTATTGAATTAGTTACAGCAAATGTTCACTTCCCTTTTCCTCGCTTTTCTGCCTCCCCCTCCCCTCCACATTTTGCACCTGCCACGCAGGCTATGTGAGCCTCGCGTACCTTTCACTGATGGATTTCTGAACTGACCAAGTTGAGTTTAGTTCTCAGGCTTTCACGGTCAGCTGCGGTCAGCGACGGCCATCTTATTGCCATTGAAGTGCGCAAGGAACAAACCTGGGACTGGGCCGCCAATATGAACTAAATTGATTTAACTGCAAGTGATGGTTTAGTAATTCTGTCATGTTAGGGTATAGCCAACCTCGTTCCCAGGGCGCCTTTCCCTGGCTTTGGAGGTGGGGCGAAAAAAAGCGGGGGAAAAGCGCCCTGGGGACGAGGTTAGAAAGCAGCAATGGTTCGCTTTAAAGTGAGCCCTTACCGACGGTTTTTAACTCGACTACATGGCACGAGCACTTCGGAACGGATTTTATCTTTAATTATTTTTGGATAAGCGGAGATACCAACATTTTTGAGCCTACAAAATAACTGCAGCAAGAGGGTTAAACAAACTAATGACACTAATTAAAACATAATCGCTGTTAACTTTGACTGCATATCACAAATATTTTAATCACCACGTAAGGGCTGTACACGCTTTTGGAGGTGGCAATGAACAAAATGGGTTTGCTTCGTTTGGCGATCCTGCTCTGTATAGCAGCCTGTCTGACTACGGATTCTGTAGCTTTGGTTGGCATTGGTGAACATGGTGGAAAAATTCGTCACGTTCATCGCTTAAAGTCAAGACGTCTTTTGAGCAAGGTATTTTTGATCTGTATAGCTTTCTTACCTTGCAGCTAGCGCCCATAACAATGACATTATTTAGTAACATGTTTCGGACTTTTAGGCGTAGCATTCATTTACGCTGCTGACGAAAAGAAAGACTTTGTACAGTGCATCATCAGTTTAAGCCTTGAGCTTCGGTAACAATTCAGTCTAAAAACGAACTAACTCGTTCTGAACCGATCCGAGTTCCTAAAAAGATCAATATGTAAATAAGATTTTTACAGTATTAGAGATAGCAGTAGACTCGGCTTTGACTTAAAATATTCCGTTCAATTCCAGCTAATTGCGTTTACATTATACTAACTTTCCAACAGTGTATAGTCATGAAAACACAAAGCCTCTTCCTTGCATTGACGAAAACTGTTTATTTCAGTGTATTGCATTATCTGGAGGCCCAATTCAGCTTTCAATGTGCAGATCCCCCCCCTCCCTCCGTGGCAATGCTTTTAAGAGTCTTTTAAGATCCCTTTGTTTAATGTTTAGTAGAAGACTTGATTTAATTGAGTTTGCAACCATTTCGTTTTACCCTGTCTTTAAGGACTTGAATGAGTAAACTATTATCTTTTCACATCGTTTTGTTTGAGTAATTTTTAAAACAAGGTGTGAATTTCATTCGAAACGTTGGTGCAGTGAAGTCAAACAAAAGCAATCGGTTCCTTGCAAAATTTCATAACTAAGTATTTGCTCACGCCCATCAATAATGAATCTTCCAGCGGAGGTATTTTTGCCTCCACCCCCCTCCCCACCTTGTATTCTCTCCAGGGATAATCCTCTGTATTAGCTATATTGGGTATGCACCTGTAGTCCAAAAGGATATGGGTTCGAGTCATTTAAGGTAATCTGAATTTTCTTAATCCGAGAAATTTTTATTGCGGAGTTTCGGGATCCTGGGCTTTGAAATCCGTAATGTAGCGCAAGGAATCCAGAATCTCGCTGTACCTTAACGATTAAAAACCAAGTTCCACTGACAAGACAGGAGCCCATAACCGGGCTCCTGACAAGATCAAATCCGGAATCCAATACTTGAAATCCAGAAGCTACAGCGCGGGATCCATTATCGAAGACTCTCTTGGATTACCCCAGACGTAGTTAATCAATAAAAATCGATATCGGGAATCACTCGATATCATCGATATTAATCGATTTAATCCGCCGATC